AAAAAAGAGAGAGATCTGTGTCGAAACAAAGATCTAGAGAATGTGTCGTGAAGCGGTTTTACGAGCTTTCGAGGAACGACCAATGAAAGTGTCCACAGGCGGAAGCGTCAGCGAACTGATGAGGAGAAATGCCTTTTATGGCTGACACTGGGCATTTCGTGCATCCATCAGCGATCAAAGAGACGACGGGGTGTTAACTGGTGAAACTTCAGCGGGAGTAATTTGAGGAAAGAAGAACATTGGTTCGGGTTCCACAATGGGCCTTCTCAGATGCAGGCTGTTTTGGTGCGAATATCCTGACGTGTCCACTGGCGAACTGAACCAGGCAATGGATACTTATGCGGAAGTGCTATTGGTTTGTACTTGCCGCATCGATGTTGGCTGTTTAAAGAAGTCCGTACCCAGACCAATATGCTTTCGTGAAAGACTTCGTGAAGTGTATGAATACGATGTTCTGAGAAAAGCGAATAACGAAGAAACCTGTCGTCTTCTCAGAAAGGAAACCTGTCATTCATCCAGAACATTCAAGACACGCTTTCAACAAACCCGAGGTATAAGGTGAAAGAGGATGATCTTCAACGATTTACCAAGCCCTATAGACCGAACATTGGGAGGAGAACATGTACGAAAACGGAATCTGATGATGAGCACGAACAGAGGAAGATGATCTGATTCAAAAGGTTTACGAAGATTGGATACGTGATCTTGAGAGCAGGGCACAACAGATTCAAACCGGACTTTCTGGCAAGCACATTTGAGGTCTTAGTTTTACGGCTAAACGTCACAATGTGAAGCGACACGCAGGATACAACGTGCAGTTACCCTTCCTGGAATTCGTTAGATGAAGATGAATTTGTTACCATAAGTGCTGACTTTCACACGACTGGCACTACAAAGAGAAGCAAAGTGAAACCGCCTACACTCGATATCACAAGATCATTTAAGTTCTACTTAACAAACGGGAGTGCTCCAAAGGGCAAATGTATTAAGTACAATCCGCAGGTTGTAGTGTCGCAGGCGAATGGAAGCGTGAGAAGTATAAGTGACGGGCAACGGCTGCCAATCTGGACGACAAACAGAGAAGGGCTTTCGAGTGTATCATGCAGCCTTCTTGTTGACATTTATGAGGAAGCTGAAAAAGTGGACTTAGAGGATGGATCCCGGATATGGGGTTGAAGGCAAAAGTCCGACTTTCTCGTAAAAACCTTTTGATTTTGAAGGGAATCGTGGCACCCAACTGATTCTTCTTCTACATGGGCCTGGAGGAAGTGGGAAGACTACCGTAATTGACTTATTCATGGCCTATGGCAAAGAATTCTGCGTTGATTGATCATCCATTTAACGACCGAACCATTGTTGTCACTGCTTTGTCGGGGGTTGCTGCTAAAATACTGCATGGGGAAACAAGCATTCAGCTGTGGGATTGAACAGACTCGGGAAAGTGTGGCGAGAACTTGGTAGAAGAATGGAGTGACGCACGGATGCTTACATCGACGAAATTTAATTCGCGGGGGAACTTGATTAGTGAAGATATTCCACTACACCAAGAACTTAATGCAAGACGAATACCAACCATTGGGGGACTTAACTTGGTGTTCGCGGGGACTACTCTCAACTTGAACCAGTGGGACGCCCCCAATTTACAATCTTCAGCACACAATTCCTGAATTTCATGACTCTCTGAATTCATTTATTGAGTTAGATGGAATGCACCGCTTCAAAGACGATCCTGAATGGGGCAACGCTGTTTAAGATCCCGTGAAGGGCGACCAACAGAAGAAGATATATGAGACCATCAATGACGCCTGCGTGGTTGCCCAACCCATGTTCCACCAGAGAACATTCATGTTGCTACTTATCTGAATCGAGATCGAGATCCATTAACTCAGCTATCTTCGAAGAATTTTGCGGGAAGAACAAACCTGCTATGATTCCGTCTGATGGATGCAGTACTCTTTTTCATGGACGATCTTCAAATGCCAATCAAGCAGGACACTGTTCCTGTTAAGAGCAATTCGTTTTTAAAGCACTTCTTTTAACATGTGGAGAAGACTCTTTAAAACCCGGTTCGGACTACGAAACGTTTGATCCTGCTTTGAAGTTAATAAGGGGTGTCCTGTAATGTTTACAGAGAACATGAATGTTCCGAATGGAGAAGCCAATGGATCTCGGCTTTTGTGAGAAAGGTGAATGTGAGGGATGGTTGCACCCCATGATTATTCAACTCGACAACGCCTGCAAGATTCGGGCTTTTTTCTCAGTTCAAGTCAAATCTATCCTTGTGGAACAGAAATGGAGACTATTATGCCACGTACTTTTTATGTACGGAGCAAGACTACACTTTCAGCACAAGATGGTTTTATGACGGAGAATTTGTACACACCAAGATGAAGTTAAGCAGTTCCCGATTATCAGAATTCTGCGACAACTGGACACAAATTACAGGGATATCTGCAGTGTGGTTATTGGTACATTCATGGCGATACTGTCAAAACTGGCTTACGTGTGTTATCAAGGTGCGAACCAGAGTGGTTTGTTCTTATTGAAGAAGCTGGATTGGGATCAAAAGAACTTGCCATGCCACAACGATGAGAGACATGCTTGCAAATTTAAGGATACTATTGGCTTTCTGTCCTAGGAGAAGATCAATACGATGAAATGTTCCAGCGAGAAGACGGGTCTTGTTATAAGTATAAAGGTAGGGATATAGGGTAATTTAATCTATATATAAAAACTTTATTACTACAACTACCTTTCTGAGATTCGCATTGCACTCGTACGTCATTCAATGTCAGTCATTGAAAAAAGATCAACGTCCAATCAAATCACAGGCGCCCCGAAAAATTAGGAGCAACTTTTAAAATGTGAAGAACGCAAGGCGACTTTCATGTGCATGTACATGCGTTGACTGTATCCCGTCAATACAATACTAGTCGAATACGTAGACTTCTACAGGGCCTTCTAAGTAATGCGCGCCGGGTATAATTCAAACCTCTGCCCCCATCGGTACCATTACCCCTAAAGCAAATCGTCTCCAGGAGACGAAATACATGCTACGTACTGGTACGGCACGCCACTGCGTACAGCACAGTAGCTAGGTGACACGAGCTTTTTTATTTTAAAGTCGTTGCACAATTCCAATAAAGGCCCATTTCCTCAATTTCTCACAATTTCCAATCTTCAAAATCCAATTTCAAAATCTGATTTCTTACAGTTCCAATTTTGCAGATCCCTTTCAATTCTAATTTTCGTGATTTCTCACAATTCTAATTTTTAAAATCCAATTTCTCACAATTCTAATCTTCTGATTCCTCACAATTCCAATTTTCCAGATTCCTCAAATTACAATTTTGCTGATTTCTCACAATTCCAATTTTTTGTTTTCCGATTCCCCCTAATTCAAATTTTAAATTTTGGATTCCTCACAATTACAACTTATAGATTCCTCACAATTCCTATTTTCCATTTCGGATTCCTCACAAATTAAAATCTTTTAGATTCACAATTTTGCTCATTTCTCACAATTCCAGTTTTCTTGCCGCCGACATCCGACATCACTCATCAACACACAATGGGAAAGACACAGAAAGGTCTGCACAGTACCTACCGGTAGCCCATCAAGGAGGGTGGCGGAAGGCATTGCTGCTTGGCTGTACTGGTACGTTAGACTAGGTTGTAGTCGTACAGGATTTCCATTGGGACGTGACAACGTTAGCCTGAAAGCTTCCTATCGGAACAGATCTATTTGGCCGTTGGCTTAACTGCAGCCACAGAACGTGAAGAAAGAGATTGAAGAAAGATGGTGGCCTCGGCCATGGAAAGTGCTCGTCAGCCGAGGCGCAATACCAACGCCAACGGTAATTCCACTACCAATCCAAGAGGGAAAAAGAAGAAGAAGCAGTGCAAATTCGGCAAGAAATGCAAGCAGCTCAATTGCCAGTTTATTCGTCCAGAAGGTTGGACTGCTGATGCCACTGACACTGACAACACTGTCACTGCTTCAGAAAGACAAGACAGCAATGCCGGCAATAGCAGCGATGATCTCCCCTCTTTGGCTATGATGAGTGATTCTGCCCAAAGACATTTCTTGGCTCGTATTGCCGCCTTGGAGCAAGAGAACAGCCAACTAAGGTCAGCCAATGAGCAGCTGAGGTCCAACAATCAACAGCTCCACCGTCAACTCGATATGGTACATCTGGAGCATGAGGCAGAACTACGAAGCGCAAACACTTCTCCCAGCCTGCAGCAGCAGTTGACGACACAATTGCAACAGCTGCAAGCGGACCATGCACAAGAAAAACTGGTTCTTCAACAAGAGTTGCAGCAGTGTCAACAGAGAAACACAGCCTTGGCCAATCAACTCCAAACTGAGCAAACCGGTCATTTACAGGAAAGGCAGTTCTTGCAACAGGAACTCCAAAGTTGGAAGCAGAGTGACACAAACAGAGTCAAGGAAATTCAACAGCTACAGGCGTCTCATGAGCAGGAAAAGTCAGCTCTTCAGCAGGAAGTGCAATCCTGGAAACAAAGGGAGATGGCCAAGGCAAGACAATTAGAAGATCTCAAGGCTAGTAAACAAGAATTGAACAATTCAAACCACAAACATGATGCTGTGACCAAGGCAGCAACGCACACCAATGGAAATCATCACAACAACAAACTCCAGCAGCACAACGATCGGTCTTTAGGGAAACATCAGCATGAGGGACATGCCCAAGCGAGGAAACCCACCCAACCATCTTCCACAGGGGCTAACTCAACAAAGTGTGATTCAACGAACGAGGCAGCTCGTCTTACGGGCCAGAACCGAAAACAAGACAACCGTAAGAAGAAGTCTATTGTGACAGAGCTTCCTCCTGGGGAAAGAGGTGGCACGGAGGAGAAGCAGGCAGCATCCGCATTGAAGGGGGCAACCGAACGAAAGAAGCTGAAAGCACTGGAAGTAAACATGCCAGGAACTGGCAAAAGTGCCAAGCCTATGCCAGGAGCAGTCGCGAAAGAAAATGAAAATGTTTCATCTCAAATAGTAATGGAGACTGCATCTAATAAGGGGCTGTCGGACGCTCGAAGTTCAAAGGAACCGAACGCAACAACGGCTGCCTCCGACCAGACAGCAGCCGGTCAACCGAGTGAATCCTCCAGCAAGCAAATTGTGGTCTCTAACCTGAAAGACGACAACGCTGTCGTTGATGGTCCTGTTCAAGTCGTCACGAAGAAGAATTCACTGGATGCCGCTACCACAAAGACTGTTTCTCCTGATGCCTCCGTAAAGAACGTAGGCCGTTCAAAGACAGTGGCCGCGGTTACTGCTAGTCCCACGCTCAGCGCCGTCGACGACAACTCGAACAACATTCGTCTCCTTGAGTTACTCTTTCCAAAGATCAAGAAAGACAAACGGGCACATCCAGCTTCTGTGACGGATGCTACGGTGCGCAAGCTGATTCAGGCTGGACACAACGAGACCCTGGTGAAGTTTCTTGCGTCCAAGTATGCAACCATGAACGATCGCAAAGCCGTGGAGTTCATTGACAAAGCCAACAAGCACCTTGTCAATCAACGTAACAATCTGCACACGATGAAAAAGATTATTGCACAGGAGGGCAGAGAAGGCCAGGCAGATCCTTCGAGAGAAGCCATCATCAAGGCCCACATTCGAGGGACTCGTGACAAAGAAGAACTTGATTCCCAGTTGAAGCATCTAGAGACCCTCGATCTCGACGCTAAAATGACAGTGTCGGAGCTGTCTGACGACAAAGTGTCGTTTCTTGTGGGGCGTTTGAATGAGATAGCCGAGAAACCCACGTCTCCAATCTTTGACATGATCAAAGGCGACGAAGCTTCGGTGTGTAAAGGGCGAAAGTATTTGGAACTAGAGAAGGCGATTCGAGACGCAAAAGAGCAGCAGCAATCTCTAGACAAGGATCATGACAGTCGTGTGGCAGGGCATCGAAAAGAGCTTGGAAAGCACCAGGAGGCAAAAGCCAACCTCGAATCGCGCCTAAAAGATCTGCGTGCAGAGCTAGAGACGATTGCCAAATGGAAGAAGTTCAAGAAACCTGCCACTCCCGAGGACTGGTTTAAGACCGCTGTTGCAGCCCTAGTAGGCGGGCCTGTTGGCAGAAAAAACGATACTCCATCTGAAGAAGAAACCAAGCTGGAGGAAGGCGCAGACGTGAAAACGGATAGCGATGAGATGAATTCCAAGAAGCAGCAGAAAAAGTCCAACAAGAAGAAAACGAAAGGCGACAAACACAATGAAAAAGAAGAGTTCAAACCAAATCGAATCCGACAGAAGATTTATGCCAGGAAAGAGGGGCAGGATTATGCATCCCCTGAGGAGCTCGAGTGGCTTCAAGAGCAGGATGAACAAGAAATCAGAGAAAAGGAGAAGCATCTGGAAGAAAAGAATAAAAAAGTAGAAAAGGAGGAGAACGCATTGGCGGATCTTGAGACAGATCCGGCTATTGAAAAGTGTCGAAATGCCGTGCAGAGGCTACGCAACCAACTGTGCGAGCTCCTTGGAATCGAGGAAGAAATCCCGGAAGACAAAATATTCAGCATTGACGGGTTGCGGGATGAGAGGGGCCATTCTTTCCTGCTCGTTGCTGTCCTCTGCAACGATGAAGCGACAGTCAAGACCTGTTGCGAGATTGGAGCAAGCCCGAACGAGTTGTGTAGCGGTCAATTGTCACCAATGTATGTCGCGACCTACTTCAACATGAAACGATTGATTCAGATTCTTTCTGATCATGGCGGTCTGCCTTCGCCATCTGAGCCTTGGGCGAATGTTGGCGTCAGCGAGGATGCAATGAGCACGGGTGATTGGGAATCAATCTTAGAAATCGCCACACGAGTAGCCGAAGCTGCAAGCCCAGCGGAAGAAGGCAGAAGTGCATTGCTCGAATCGGACGAGAAGTCAAGGATGCCGGTCCTGGCGGAGACTGAAAGGCTCGCTCAACAAATGTCTTTCTTTGATGAATGCCTCATTGACGCAAACGTCGCACACATTCGCCGTCAAATTCTCCTGGAGAAATCTGTTTATTCCTGGTTTCTTGAAGCAGACGAAGAGAACCGATCAGTGTTGCTAGACTTCCTCTCCGCGCTCCTACCGCCGCAATCTCGTAGACGATCTGTGCTCCGAGAATTCGTTTGCCATCGACGAGCTGTGATAGGTTTGCCGACGCAGATGCAATACGAGGTCCTGGCGGTGGCACTCAACAACAATCAAGCCGTGCTGTTCACGCCGTTCGTGACAAATGCCGTTGAAGGGTACGCAAGTGTCGGCGTCGTGGTATGGGCCGTCTGTCCCGAGGGCTCTCTTTCATTGTACAAATCATTGATCCAAGATACAGAGTTTCTCCGAAACAAAGTTGACAGTGGAGAGATCTTTCCGGGGCACAAACCGTTTGTCCTCGAGCTTGGGAAGGATATGCACCTTCTCGACTTGCATTCAACAAACATCTACACCAGCAGCCCCAGCGTGCTTTTCAGCGTCAACGTCGATGCTGGCGAATTGGAGCTTTTGGAAGATCCATGATTTACTCCGAAAAAGAGGACCCTTGACTTTGAGGACAAGATTGCAGACGCCTTATTCAGCCAGAGCGAAGAACAAGCCGCAGATGAACAGGAGGTTTTGCCAGCTGCGGGAGCCAGGAAGTCCACGATGCTCACAGGTAAGTACAGGAAGAATAGTGTACAGTCGTACTACAAATCCATGTGCTGGTTTGTTCTACCATTTCTCACCCTGGTTCTTGTAACTCGCGCAGGAGGAGCTGGTTCGGGAAAAACACAGCTTCTCTGCAAAAAACTGATTAGTGAGTCATCGCAAATCAGCTGTCTGGTAGTAACAAGGCTTCCTCGTCTCTTGTCAATGGTAAAGAACCATGTTGAGAAGGAAAGAGACATTCGGAACATCACATTCCTTTCGTATGATGATCTGATGGCGGAACTCGCCTTCAAGGTTCAGGCACCCGAGGGGGGGAAGCGTCGGTTTGCAGTCTTCTCGCAGGTGCAGTTTGGCGACGTGTCCAGTACTGGGGAGAACGCGACCATCAGCTTTGCCCAAGAGTTTATGAATGTGTATCTCACCGTGAAGGAAAGGAAGCGCATGAAAGCTTCAAAGGTCGAAGCGTTGACTTTGTTTACAGCAATCCGTACAATCAAGAGCAACTCTAGGTGCCTAGAGAAACTCGAACCACTCAGCCGCGACACATATATGCAGCTTCCAGATGCATTTGGTCTCGACCAAGATCAACGCGCCCTAGTTTTTGAGTTGTTTGAACAGTATCAGGAGTGGGGACAACTGGAGATCCAAAGTGGGACGAAGCCGACCGGTAAGAGCAACTTGAATCGAGTAATTGCATCTCCTCAGTTCCGCTTGGAAGACTCAACTGTTTTCTTCCGTCAGCACTCTTACATCTTGAAATTCGGTCCCTCTGTGTTCCGCCAACATGAGTTCCGTTCCTGGCATAAGCGGTACCTGGAAGGAATGGGCGAAGACACAGTGAACGAGGATGGGCGGCCGTTGACTCCTTGGTTCTATGACAGGTGCATCGTTGATGAAGCTCAAGACTTCTCGGAGCTCGATCTAAACCTTTTCGTACGCATGAGCCGTTCAGTGAAGAGTGCTCTGTTTGCAGCAGACGGCGCTCAGAGCGTGGAGATCGGTCTCAACATGAGGAAAGGTACAGTACACGACGTACTCCATGCCTCGATATTTGATCGCAAGGGGCTGCACGTCAAGGACGTTCTGCAAACGATTCAGACGAAGATCAATCATCGAACGCATGAACAGAATTTGCGATTGTCAAAAGCCGTCAGGAACATGATGACCCGTTCCTTTCAGGTGCCAGGAACTCAAGAGTAAGTGCTTTGCTGCGTCGACTACTTCTCGGTCGCTTTCCTAGGGGAATTGACTCTTTCCCGACTTTCTCTGACGACACGTACCTACTAGACACGCGCTGATTACCGGCAAGCTCCCACAGGTATTGACTATCAGCGGAATGGAAGACCTCAAGAATGAGAGCATCTTTCGAGCCGCGAATATTGTGTTCCTCTGTCCGGATGAGATGGTCCAGGATGTAAAGTCTTTCTTTGTTCGGAGCCAGATATCTTGCGATGTTTTTGGGGTCCGGGAAGCCAAAGGATTGGAGTATGATTCGGTTGCACTTTTTCAATTCTTCGACTACTTTGATCGGCGAAAAGACTTGGGGGAAGCTTGGCGGAACGCTTTACGCTGGATGTTCTCCAAAACTGGAGTGACCGCCATGAGCAGTAATGAGTGGTTCATGGGAAAACCTCTGGATTCATGCGACTACCTTCTCTCTCATCCAGAGCTTCAGGATCAAGCTGCCATGTGGTATGAAACGCGAGAGAGCTTTGGAATGATGCAATTGTTGCTCGTACTCACCTGTTGCTTGCCTTCAGGTACACTGCAATCACTCGAGCCCGGAATCGTCTGTACCTGATTGAGGTCGGTGGCGGGGGAAGAGGACTGGGAGATTACGCCTTCCGTTGTCTCACTGACAAAAGCCTGGCTTTGGCTGAAAGGGTTGAGTTCATCGATGAAGGGTCAGTTCTGCTTTTGCGTGCGCGTGTGATCCCGTGGCAGCAGCTGCAATGCTCTCACTTACCCCCTTTCGCTCTCTCTTCGTGTAGGTTCAAAGAAATGACGCCCCAGCAACACAAGGCTCGTGGTGTGCAACTGGTCACCCAAGCCTTTTCACTCAGCCGCGAGAAGAAACCCTTTCCGCAGGTGAAGCCAGGGGCGTTTTGCCCCCGAGAAGGGTAATGACAGCCAGTTGCTCAAGTTGTGCACCAAGCACATGAAGGTGCTGTCGCAGAAGCAGCATTTGCTCGAGATGATCAAGATAAAGTTCTTCAATTCCGAGACAGGGGAATACGACTTGCAGGGGAAGTTTCTGACGCTCATTCAGCTTGAAGATCAGCTGCTTCAGTTCTTTTCGGAATATGACACATTTGTGGTCGAGGAACTACGAGAAGTTCTGGGAGTTGTATCTCAAATGATCATCGGTTCCCCTTACGAACGACGTTTTGGAAAGATGTGCCTTGATTTGCAGAAGCGTCTCCGCTAGGTCACAAGCGAGAGAATCCTTCACACCTTCTTTCAGCGGCTGCCAAACTACATGTACTAGTAGTGAGTAGTTCTAATGGTGCTGCGTAAGCTTCGTCGCCCAGCGGTTGATGACGGAAACGAGTCAATGAGAATGCCGAGGATCGACGTCTCTGCTGCCATTGCAACCACAATTCTTTGCAGGCGTTACTTGTAGTTTGGAAGAATGTGTAACTAGAATATGACTCTAGCTAGCATAGTGCGGATTGGCCTGCTCTGGATGATGACACATTTCACACTCTGTAATGTTGAGAAGATCTGATGCACTAGCTCTCTTGGGTAAGATGGCGGGCTCTCCAAAGAAGATATGCCACATGCGTTCCATGGCACAACAGAACTCCCGGGCCCCAGGATAGTCACCAATGAGATTGGAATGCCGGAGCTGTTGCAACAATGCATAGTACGTTGATTGTGGATGCATTTGTATCTGCTCTTTGCGAACGGCGAAATGGGCACTGGGTCGGAATGTCAATTGTATGGGTGGCTTGGGGACCTTTCGGGTAGCATCCTCGCTCATGGTCCCACCCCCGAGAAGCGAATTTGCTGACAGTCGAAAGAGTGGCCATAGAATCTTCATGGCTTGCCCGTGGTTGGGATCTCGACCCCACCATTCCGCAAGTTCTTTTATTCCAAAATGAAGAAATGGGTGTTCTCTGGTGACAAACTGTCTTGTGGCATTGGCAATGGGCTCAAATGTGTCAAAAGGTGTGTGAGCACTGGTGCCACTGTGCCTGGAAAACGACCGTAGGCCATCTCCATGCATAAAGACTGTGACCGTGGTCAGATCTTGGTAATAGTCGTGCATGTAGTCCAGATATCCATTGCACTCTTCTGCCCCTGCATTGGTAGGTGTGTGATAAGTCACGTGAGACAGTTCCTCTTGTCTACCACACTTTTCATAGACAATAATGCGCCAGTCAGATGGCACTTGGAGCAGCCATGTCATGTTTACACGACAGTTTACCACCACAAGTGTGTAAGATTCCTCCTCTTTTTCGTTAGTGCTGCGTAAGCTGCGTTTGCCAATGTTTAAAGCACCGGGAAGAATTTCCTCGTAGATTTGCCTGAATGTATTCGTTCCGAGAAACAGAACCACCACCAACATGGCCAATCGAGACAGCTTCTTCAGCAAAGCGTAGTCCAGTTCAGTTTCATCAGTTCCATCCGACGGATTGTCGAGTGCCTTATTGGCCCTTCTTCGTTTCAGACTTGATCTGGGCATGATCAATTGGTTGGTGGCTCACCTGTTGATTTTGTGCTTTTGGTTGTGGTCTTTCTAAAGATTTTCTTTCTCAATGCTCCAATGCGTTGGAGGCATCTTTTCACCGAGCCGACTCAGACTCTGCCTTGGTTCATTAGGGTTAGCAAGGCCAAGCGTCACCGCTCGTGATTGTTTGCTCACGACTCAGTTCGCCGTTTCTCCAACGCATTCTTTGTCGCTCCCTTTCCTTGTTTCTTCCGACGCCACAAAAACTAACTGAGAAAGAGACCACGATGAACAGGATATTCGCTATATTTGTGTTGGTTGCAGCTGCTTTGCATCGCTGTGGTATGTAGCGTGTGTGTGTGATGCCGGAAGGACTTTGGATTTGTGTAGGAATCGTTGTTTTAACAATCGTTGCCTCTCTTCTCTTTTCTCACTCTCGCGATCCTCAGCGGCGGACGACTCTGACACTCCTGCCGTGACATGTGGATCGGCCATTAAAATCACCCACGTAAAATCTGGTGCTGGCAAATATCTTCTCTTTGACTCGGAAGGGAAAAACCGACAAGGAGGTAGTGGACAGCATTTAGCTACTTGGCTTCGAGATGATCCGTCCAATAATCGAGCCATGTGGTGGATCCGTCCTGCTCATCACGGCGTAGATGACACGGAATACCCAACTGGCGGCGATGCCAGCAAGCATCGGACGTGTCATCGGGCAGCGGAAGAAGTCAAATGCGGCGATACCATTCGATTGACCAACATGGCAACACGGCGACAATTGCACAGTCACCAAGTCAAGAGTCCCTTATCCAATCAACAGGAAGTTTCCGTCTATGAAGGACAGGATTTTGGAGATGATTGGGTAGTAGAATGCGTGGAATCGTCCGGAGTCTGGAGACGAGGCGAGACGGTTCGGTTGAAACATGTGCAAACAGGTGGCTACCTTGGGGCCAGCCCGGAAGCAGAGTTTAACGAACGAACCTGTGGCCGAAATTGTCCCTTGATGCATCATCTAGAAAGCTTTACGAGAGGTGGGAAAGATCATCTGTCAGAGATCCGGGCTGAGCAAGGCATATACCTTCATATATAGCTAGCTAGATTAAAAAAGGGTAGCTAGTCAGAGAATTTTCTGTACTGTTGTTGGTCTTGAGAGTATCAGTATTGCAGACAGTTGTCCTCGCGGTCTTCTTTTTATAAATTACGATACCACACAAGAGAGGTGCTTCAGATTTAGTTAGCTTTACATGTGCTACTAGGTAGTACTGGTACTGGTACAGTTTTTTGCTTTGCACCTCCCGTGCCGCTACCGGTACTGTACACTGCCTGCTGTCGTTTTTGTGGCTCGGGAATCACTGGCATGGCAAACATAGTAGCGTGCTAATGCGCAACCTCCATCTGGTTTTCCTCCATTCCCTACAATCCCATTTCGTGGGATCCACAATCAATTCGCCCTCGCCGCTGTGTGGGTCAGAATTGTATGCCATGTTGCTCAGCGGTCCTCCCATGCAGAGTCTTCATAGGCGCGCTATATTTTGATTCCTCCTTGACAGCTTTCATCCTTTTCTTCTTCGAAGCACCAAAAGCTGGTACGGTAGGATCATCTCTAGCTAGTGAGAGATTCTTCGGGAGCTGATGATGGTTGCTGTTGCTACCCCATCGGCAGCACTTTTCCTCAGGATCTTGATCGTTGCATTGTCGATCAAGCAAGAAATGTGAAAGTGTACTTGGGAAGAAATGGTTGTTGGTGGAAACCCAATAACCAGGTCGCAAGCATCGTTTTGTGGTTAGGTGGGGGTGAAAAGTAGCTTCACTGGTTTATCAGAGGGTCGTCCCCAGCCGCACAATCGGACTTCCTTCCCACACCCCACACCCATCATCGGCTTGAAAAGGGCTTCCTCTCTCATCACTTCCCACACCCTGTACTTTACGGTCGAGTTTACTCTAGCCAGTCTTCTTCCACCATGGCCTCCTCGGAAGCCAACTTGCCTCCCTGCCAAGTATTGCTGCGATCCAAACATGGGATCGAGGTCTTTCAGGTCTCTTCCAATCGAGACGATGTGATGGAACCACGGTCAGGAGAGCGTCAGTTTCTCGTCAAGGGTGGGACTGCCTATCAGACCATGGCTCCCGATGGCAGCTGTGCCTTTGTCTTGATGACGGGCCATGGTGTGGTACGAGTGCCACTGACAGGAGCTCCACCACAAGAACCCATTACCAAGAGTTCTCCCACCTTTTTGGCCAACAGTTCTACCATTCAAATGATGGAGATAAGTCCCATGGGCTCCTACTTGGTCACATGGCAACGCGTCACGGAGAGTGAACCCAACAATCTCAAAGTATGGTGTGCGTCTACGGGAGAATTCTTGATTGGCTTTCCTCAAAAGGGCTTGAAACGAGAAGCATGGCCGTATGTCCAGTGGACGGCCGATGAAGTCTTTGCCATGCACATGACGACCAATGAAGTACGCATCTTTCCAGGAGATGCCTTTGCCAAGGACAAGCAAGAAGCACGCTATGTCGAAAAGGCACGGGCTCCTGGAGTCACTTCCATGAGTGTTCCCAGACAGAGAGGAGGAGCATTGGCGTCGACACCCTACCGATTCACCACCTTTTGTCCGGGAGACAAGAACAAACCTGCCAAAGCAACACTGCACGAATACGACGCCAATAATACACATACCGTTCTCATGTCCAAATCACTCTTCCAAGCCGAAGACATGAAAACAAACTGGAGTCCCAATGGCAATATTGCCTTGATTACACTACAAACCAGTGTGGATGCCTCGGGAAAGTCCTATTATGGATCCGCCACTCTCTTTCTGTTGGGAAGTGACAATGATGCCAAGGCAGTGCCCCTGCCACAAGATGGACCCGTCATGGATGTCTCGTGGATGCCCAATGCCACCAAATCACCCTGCTTTGTCGTCATTGCCGGTCGAATGCCCGCCATGGCTTCCATGCATCACGGGTTGACGGCCGAACCACTCTTTTTGTTTGGAAATGCCCATCGCAACACCATTTCCTGGGCACCGCATGGTCGCTTTGTCTGTGTGGCAGGATTTGGCAACTTGGCCGGTGGCATGAGTTTCTGGGATCGCAACAAACTCAAATTGATCCCTCCCACGGGACAGAATACCGCCAGTTGTACCGTGGGATTTGGATGGTCCCCCGATTCCAGACTCTTTGGAGTCTCCACCACCACACCACGCATGAATGTCGACAATGGATATAGACTCTTTCGATACAATGGAGAACAAATTACCAATGTTCCCTGGACCAATGAGAATTACCTTCCCGACAAACTGCTGGAAGCTTGCTTTGTACCCGCGCTGCCCACGGTGTATCCCGATCGACCACAAAGTCCGACTCTGAAAGCCGAGGCAGCCGCCCCTGCGGCTGCGGCACCCGATGCCAAACCGGCCGGTCGGTACATTCCTCCATCGCAACGAGGCAAACAAACGGGTGGCAAGTCGCTGGCAGAACGAATGCAAAAGCAAAAGGAAACACAAATGAAGGGTGCTCAAGTTGTAGCTGGACAACCCAAAAAGGCCGTTTCGGCCGCCACGGGAAAAGTCATTCCAGGATTGGTAGTGGCACCCAATGATGGCAAAACCAAGTCGGCCATGAAACGAGAAAAGCAAAAACTCGCCAAACAACGCAAAGCCGAAGAAGAAGAAGCCAAGAAACAACAAGAGGAAGCTGCTGCTCCTCCCGCCGAAGCTGTCGATCCGGAAAAGAGAGCCCGCAAGATAAAAAAGACGCTCAAACAGATTGACGATCTCAAGCAGAAAGATCCGGGGGCACTGAATGAAGATCAGCAGAATAAGATAGCCTCAGAAGCCAGTCTAAGAGAAGAACTGGCATCGTTGGGGGTCTGACTAAAGTGATACACTAAAAATAAACAGTAAGGTTGTATGCATTATTCAACTGGTACACTTCTTATTTGTTTCTCATCAAGCGTGCTCTTTAGGATTGGATGAAAGGAAATGTACATGGTTGGTTTGAAAGTTTTATTTGTAGTTGCCATGCCTTAGCTCTTTTTTAAAATTAAGGAGACAGCTTTCCAATGACTTTCATCGCTAATTGTCCCCGACTTTCATCAATACCATCCATTTGTATTCGCACCATATCTCCCTGCTCAATAGACTGGAACTCTGTTGTCAGATCTTCTGGCAGCACTGCAACACCGACTGGAAGCTGAATACCGTCTTGAATGTCGGAAAAGGGCTCTACGTAGAGCCAGTCACCAGTTTGAGAGGTTGCCTTGACTCTTCCTTCGTATTCCCGCCCTTTTAGTTCTTGGGCTTTCTCCAGTCCCCCCAACATTTGACTCAATCGTTCCAGTTTCTTACTAACATCGCCTTGCTTTTTGATATCCTTTGCCTTTTTGCCGCGCACCGCGGATGGATCGGTGGTGACCATGAATTGACTGGATTGTTTGGACACGGACAAAATATGTACGGGGACGATATCTCCGACGCGCAATCGGATGCTGCGTCCTCGTGGTCTTGCTCGCGGAATGGCAAAGGTTGTCGGTTGGTCTTCTTCTTCTTCAGGTTCATCATCCTTTGGCTTGACCAGTTCCGTTTCTCCCGTTTCGGGATTTTGATAGTTCAAGGAACCATCCGCATTGGTACTGAACAAATGCGTAATATCTTCCAACTCTTCTCCTTCGTCCAACTGATCAAATTCGGTTTCGACGCGATTCAACATTTCTTTCATCGATGCAAAGACCTCGTCGTCTTGTGTAGTAGATTGTTGCTTTGGTTGTGTGGTATCAGTATTGTCGAATATTTTGGTCGTATCCCAGATGGAGTCGGGATCAATGGCATCCTTGAACCGCAATTTTCCAAAGACTTTGACAAATTCGGGAGTTCCAATACCGACTCCTTCATCGGGATGTTTGGCACTACTAAATTTGCGACCGATCCCAAAATCCACCAGAGCATGATCTCGCGCCAATTTGACCACTTTGGCGTCAAAGGGTCCTTCTCCTACTTGCAACTGATCCAGCATTTGACGCGGACTTTTGAGAGGTGCATATTTGGGATGATGCTGACGTTTGGTGGTCAATTTGGGTTGTCGTCCTGCCGTGGGATTCAAGGATAGCGTGAGCAAGGGCATGCCTCCATCACCCTGTGGATCAAAATCAAACAAGACAGCCGACTGGATGCTTCCTTGCTGGACTTTGCCCGTTTCGATATCTTCGCGGGGACTGACTCGTAAAGCAGCCGAGAGAGGTGGAAAGACATCACCACCCTCGGATGATTCTTCATCGCGGTATCGAATATATCCCGTGTGTTTCATGATGGAATCATCTTGGGTGACGACTTGCAATAGTTTGGCTTGAGCGGCCTTTTGTTTGGCCTTGAATTTGGATCGGGGTGTCTTGAGATAGTATTGGACTCCCTCTGGATCTGCAACGAGGCGGACTCCGTAGGTATCCTGTGTGGCTTTGCTACTGAACAAACCCTGGATCAAATCCTCGGCTGTGCCATAGCCCATTTCCGTGGCGTGGTTCTATGCAACAAAAATAAAGAGAAGAAAATATTTGGAGTGGAAAGGGAAAAAGCAATATGAGACGACAAAATAAAAGATCATTATTTCAAAACAACAAATACACATCCTCCAGTAAGTTCTACATACCGCCAACCGTCCTTTCAAAACCTTCTTGTGAAGCCGCGTCAATTCGGCAGTGGACAACACGGTTCCATCTTTTTGTGCCGATCCATGCCGGTACAACAAATAGAGTAAATTCCATCGCAGCATGGATGCCCGATCCAAGTTTAGGACCGAACAGGGCACCAACAGGGGTGATCCGGAGCGACGACGCTTTTTCCACGCCTTGCGACCCAGTGCCAAATCGCCCACTTCGATTTGCACCGCTTGACCGCCCATCAATGCGGCGTACTCGTTGCGAGTGGCCGGAATTTCACTATAATCGGACGCCACGTCGTTGTCGACGGTGGGAGAAGAGTTGTTGCCGTCGTTGTCTTCAATGACATTGTATTCCGAACGTCTTCCCTGGCGTCAAATTGAATCCGACAACCTCCCACTTAAAGTATCGAGAAAAACCTTGGCTGTGAAGAACTTACGCTAAATAGCCACCAAACCTGCCTAGAAGCATTATTCACACTCTCGCGCGCTGGGAAATACTGTTATAAACTGCCATGAGTCAATAAAAGAGCAGTAAAGGCAGTTAAAACCTCAGCGCATAAAACACAGTAATTAGAGCCAATGGAGGCCATAAACACATTGCAGAACACAAGGCTATACTGTCTTTACGTAAAAATCTGTGCATAGGCCAATTACTTACTGCATGGTATTACTTACTGCAGTAATTGGACCAGTAAGGACCAGTAACCAGGAATTACTGCAGTAAATACCAACCAAGGCTGGAATAACCCAGATGTTCCTTCCGAACTGGATTCTAAATCGAAAGCGATAAATAATGTCCAGGTAAAGGCAGCGAGAACTCCTTCTTTACACTCCTTTTGGCCACTTCGTTCAAAAGTAAAAGGGTGCTTCCAGCTTGCAGTTTTCAATATTCGAGAGCTATTCGAGTTAGTTAGGCCGTTTGGAACCACAAACGTGGTGTTCTTCAAAGCTCACGCTTCTTCAAAGCTTCAAACGCAGGCAGCAGGCAGAGAGGCCCAACTAGCTAGCTACCAGCTAGCCAAGATCAAATCGCGAAAAGCTCGCTGGTAATGGCAGTACAGTGTACGGAGCTCTACCACAAACTCAGCGAGGACGATCATCTACATTAGATGTTCTGTATCCACAAGATTAAGTTAGGACCCATGGGGTGCTCTGAGGGCCAAAAAGCCGCATAAATCCCCACCGCCATCTGAGCTGAAAACACGACGCTCTTGCCCGAACAACCAGAAAATGACAAAGAATAGGTAATTACAGAAACACAGCTTACGACACTAGTCTAGGTCACACGCAGAGATGAAATGGGTGCTACGGTGGCTCGGCTGTGAGGTGGCGGGCTTCAAACTCTGCTTCCGCATAAAATATTTAATTGCACTGGTGACTACACCAATAAATACTCCACTGCACAAAAACACTCACGTGGAAGGTTAGAACGATGAGCAGAGCGCCATAGTAACAAAGAAAATGACTTCGCCACCCCGCGTAAATTCATCATCGCTCCCAAAAACCACTTGCCATCAATTTTGAGTGACCGAGGACCGAGGGCAACGAGCAACGAGGGGTATATTTATTTTGGATTTTGGATGGAACATGGAACATGCGTTCACGCTTTCTATTTTGGGTGAAGATCGAGACAATCAATGTAGAGCACCTGCCTCCAGCGTTCTGCGGGTCCTTAAGTCTTGCGAGTATCATTCCCTTGAGAATGGTGAATGCAAACGCTGGCCACTCAGCACATCGTGCGAAAGACAAAGCAGAGAGAAGTCTAATCGTAAAGCTTCGGAAGTCATTCACCCAAGCCCATAGCCGCGCAATGCAGCTAACTTAATGAGAAGAAAGGGAAAGGAAGTGTTTCCTTTGCAAGTCTTTTCACCTTCAATCCTTCAATGACCTCGCTGGATCGATCCCGCATCGATATCCCACATCACAAACGAGCTACAAACGTCAGTTCATTGCAAACCAGCTGCATCTGCGACCTGCCTTACCACCAGCTTGCAATAATATTAGTACTATTAAATCGGTCACAAGGAGAGGGCAGCTCCCATCCACTAAAAATGAAATATGACTACGCATATAGGCTAAAGATGACAAAGAAAAGGCCTCCAGGCAAGATGTCACCGCCAAGGTCGAAAAGGGAAGCTTAGCATTGGAAGTGGAACGGAATGCTGTGGGTAGGTGAGCAGGTCAAGCTCACCATCTGGCTAGAAAGATTATGGTTTGATTGTGCTTGTACTCTACGATCTTGAGGAGAGGACGTAGGATGCACTGGCTGGCTATTCTTCAGTGACTACGAGAAAACTGCAAAGGCCAGCAGCCAGCGAGAAAGAGCTGGTTGTGGTGGCCGGACTGAGCGTAACGCAATAACGCAATAACGCAATCTCCGCCCGCAGAACAAAGTGAGGGTTTCAAGTGAACCAATACAGAGATTACACGGACATCTTTTTAGAGATTATATTGAAGGGCCACGGGACTGAAGCAGGAAGTACAACAGGGCCCACTACGCACATAAATCAAGGTCAGCCTTGGTTATGTCTCCCGCTCCCTGTATGTCGTTTGCATCATTGGCGCTTAGATTGGACATGCCTTCTACAAGATTCAGCAGCCTTTCCAACTTTCTCTCCTGTTTCAGCAGTCGTTCTAGTTTGCTGTCCACGTCCTGTCGCCATTGCATGTCCTGCTCCTGACCATTGAGCCCCGCGGGGAACCGGCGGCTTGCCTCTCTTACTGAAAGACGTCGAAAGGCAGAGATCCCTGGCTTGATTACGCCCTCCTCATCCTGGGAAATAAATGGCGTCTGAGCCTCCCAGAGACTGTTGCGAATCGAACCAACGTATTGCCATTCGGGACCCACTGCAACAAACAGAGGAAGAGAAACAAGTGGCGGGGGCATGCCGATGATGGGGCCGTGCCCTCTGAACCTCACTTGTTCCACAACGCAATTTGCGGCTTCCAATCGCTTCTTTTGCCACCTCTCAAAATGCACCGAGAGGACACTCACAAGAAGCGCAACGGCCATAGCCGACCAATGCATGACAAAGGTGCCCAGCATGCTCTCTATCGACAGAGATGATGTTTCACCCGCCCCCCTAGAGCAGAAGAAGAAGAAGCTGCAGTGGTTGATCCGCCACCCTTTAGGGAACGTTGCTGGGGTGGTATGTCCTGGTTTGAGAACCACGATGATGAAAGAAGACCCCGACGTGCTCTCGAATTCCTGTCGCCAGATTCTTGTGCATCACAGTCGATTGTCTGCAGCTTTGCTCTATGTTTCCTCCACAGCTCCTCAAGTATCCCTTCTCCCACAATTTCTGCAAGATGCAAATTGAGAACGTCTCGAATCAAGCTAGAGCAGAGATCACCTGAATCAGCCTTGACAGCAAACCCTGATTTGATGGTCAAGAGTTGCCTTCCGACCCATTCAAGATCACAGTCAGGGTTGTAATCTTCGTTGCTAAAGTATGTCAGCCAGGTGTCCATAGAGGTCACAGCAAGTCCACATTGGCCTTGCCTCAAAGCTTGATACATCAGTAACTCAGTTTCCATCGGACGACGGATGGCCTTTTGGTACTTGTTCTGGATGACTGTATCACTGTTGGATCCACCCCATGTGCAGTACTTGGCACAGTTGGCAATTCCATGCTTTCCAATTAAGCCTATTACCAGCCCTGACTTGCCCTGCTTGGAGCAGTGAAGCTAGGTTGGCAGTATAGGTCGGCTGTTGATAACCAGTGCCAAATGCGTCATGCTGATGCCAAAGATTCTACCAGCCAAGACTGTTTGGTGCATACTCAAAGTCTTTGAGAGAAATTCAAGGATGATAGGTTACTGAAGCGAACCGGAACGAGGACAGAAACAAGCTGTGAGAGACTTACATATTTGGCACCGGCGATGAGCAGTATGGCCTTGTGCAACACTGGAAATCACATGACAACAAAACTTACCAGGATTTGTCAGGAGAACCACTGGTACATGCTTCGTTCACTCTCGCTTCATCATTCATGAACTCAATAAGCTGGTTACACCAAAGCAGAAGCAATGATAGTTGTAATGATGAGCATCCAAACAGACGCATCAAATGGGAGCAGCCAGTTGGATAGTACAATCGAGCTTTCTTGTATCGGTGGGTCATGCTGGTTGATAAGTACCAAACTTCCATCATACCTATATACATGTAGAATGATGAAGGAAGCATCGTATCGTTAGTTTAGACAGATACGTGTACAAGTGATTGACAAGTACTTTTTTGTCGATATACCCAGAACTCACCATGGCTCCACAAAGGCCACCCCCTTTTCCATGCGTTCAATGGAATGGTCCCACCATGTGACGGAAATATCAAAATGATTGACGGACCACACAAGATAATCTGTCCAAGACAGCACGGTCCAATCTTCGTCAGGCATCCACATGATGGCAAATGAGTCTCGCCAAGTAAAGTTTGCCCTGGCAGCGAGAATATCCATGAGTTCGCCAAGGAAGCCCGGGTCCACTGGGTCAATGCCCTGATCGTGAGAGAAATGAAAGAAATCCCCATGTTCCATGATTGGTCTCAAGGCCAACCCGGAGAGGGCATGCCTCAGTGAAATCTTTCCATCACTAAACTGATTGAAACGATCACAGACATCTGATCTGTAGGTGGCATTGCCTTCGGACAATGGAGAGATCTTGAAAGCAGGCTTCTCTCCAATACCTTCGTCAATGATGGGAAAAGCAGAAGGATGATACACAGCGCGCCAAAGGAAACAAAGTTGATGCATTCTCATGGTGTCGATTCCAGAGAAGAAACCAAGCAAGTACCACAAGTTCTGAGATAGTATTGACAAATTATGACCAAGGTTGAGGTCACTCCAACTCTCCAACATAACTACTCTCGACTCTCGGCGCTCGGTCTCGTGGCACAATGGCTTCGGTACCAGCCACTACCGATATTACCTACCGTTACCAGAACGGTACGTACATGTATGTACGACTCGGGGAGATTTCTTTCGAAGATGCGCCAAAAATGACCGTGCAATAATTATTACTAGCATTAAAAATGACCCTTCCCCTTCTGAGAATACTTGACCTTGATTATAAGATACTATAGTTTTACCTAAACGAAGTTATCGAAAGCTGCCGTATGTTGGTTGGTGAACTTGCCTACTTGCCTCCGGTTTTGACAAGGTTGGATAACATGGGATGCCAAAGTACCGGCACATTCTCGCAGGCCATCGTTCAGTATTTGCATCTTCCAGGATGTGTTTGTTAGCTACTGTACCGATGGACACTCTCCTGCTATATGCCTCCTATGATACAGTACCAGTAGCTAGTACCAGTACTGGTACTGTACCGGTACCGGTAGCCGTCAATGGAATATGGTGGCTGCACTTCAAGCTGCCAGACTGCATTGACTGGCATCTGGCATCCCGCAGAGACATTTTCAAGCAAACGCGGCAACTTCATCCACGGACCGGTACCGTACAATAATGGTGGATAATATCTGATATTTTATGAAATAAAATAAGTTATTTTAAAATACATGGACAGCCTCTTGCTCAGTGGTCGCTGCCTTTTCAATTTTAAACATAATTTGAGCAGAATTATGAATCTAGTAGTCAAGGTATGACTGTACAGTAACAGAAAAATTACTGCAGCCAGTTGTGAGCGTCTGTCTGCCACACAAGATATCTGACGTCGAAAAGCATCAAAACAGAAAAGATCCATCACATCACCGCCAATCGATCTTTCCATCACCACACAAAGAAAACCAAACTCTTTGTGCAAGCAGAGGAGGAGCACCTGTTGGGCCGCTTCACGACAGCTTTGATCAACCAAGCTCCAAAAGTCAAGAGAGAACTCTAGCTAGCCAGTCCTGCCTGTGGATTTATTTTCTGCTAGAAGTTCTTCCTGCTGTTTTCCTTTCAATCCAATAATTAATTTTTCCTTTCACCATGAGGCTCTCGCTGCTGTTTCTTTCGATCCTGCAGTTGTCGACACTGGTGGATTGTTTCCTGCTGATTCCAAAATCAGCTTCCAGCATCCAGTCCATCCAAGGATTGCAAGCAGC